TGTAGGAATGGTTAGGAACTGCACCGATGAGGGGCAGATTTTGGGCCCCAGCCTGTCACCTGTCCCTTGCAGATCCTTTGGCAGTAGTGACCAGTGAGGGGGGTCATTCTTTCTATGGCTTTAGTCGATCTGGAACCACTGGTGACCAGCAACATAGCTTGTACAGTGGTTTGCCGGGATCCACTGCAAAAGACGCTGGTGGCGTCTTGGGGCTCTGTGGGGCGGTTGGGGTGAACAAGCAATGTTTGGTTCAAGTATGTTCGAGTGGGAAGTATGCATAGCACTGCGTCACCACATGTGTTGAAAGGAAACGAATATCAAACTCTAATTGAACATGGTGCATCATGGTGCCCGACATATGCAACGAGTGTGTAAGTTGCTCATATTTGCTCCATCAACCAGAGTTCTTCCTTTTGTTTTTGGGTTTGGGCATCTACAGTATCTGCTTGCTGCAAAACCCATCCAAAATCGAAGCGAACTGCGGGGCGTAGGCAGTTCACGAGAAAGCTTCAGCCCTTGGCCGTGCTTTCCAAGGCTTTCACTTGCACTCGGAACTTCGGGAAGCCCAGGCGCCCGATGTCGCCCACAGTGTTCAACCCCCTGCGTCGGTGGTGTGATTTTGGGGCGAAGAATCCAAGCAAGAGTCCGTGTTCAAGCGATTTTTATGCATTTGTTTGTGCAGTTCTCCTGTGGGGTCACAGAGCCAGCTGGGATTTGTCATGATTTGTGCAGTTTTCCTGTGGCATTGGAAGACATGTCTTCCCGAAGCATCGACTGTGTCTTCCAGTGCCACATGCGAGCTCGCGACAGCGGCCGACGGAAGCTGGGATCCCGATCCGACGGAGGGGCGAAACAGCATCTGCCACCACCGCGGCAAAGAGATGCAAGCCAGGAGTCACAAAGGGGTGGTGTTTTGTCCCTATGTGAGTGGATAATGGGTCCATTAAGCACCCCTTTGTGACTGCTGGAAGAGGCCATGTCTTTGGGATTTCTTTGGGGTCATCCAAGTGTGATCCAGAAATCTTCCTCATCGGCTTCGGAGAACGATCGCGTCGATGATTGTTAAGGGCCGTTCCATCCCACTTACATACCGGCACCCGACTCTACAGGTCTCCGACATGGTAGCTTTTGGAGACTTAAAAGTGTCAGGTGGTGACATGTAACGTCAGGACTGGATCCATTCCATCCATTTCTTCCAACAAAAAGAGACGATCGCAGTGAATTCCGCCGTTGGAAGCCCCGGGAGTCGCCGGGAGTCGCCCTTCACCGTTGTTCGTGGTTCGTGGTTCGTCCACTCGCTCGACGCGCCGGTGTTCTCGCCGTGGGCCGCGGGTTTGGCGTCGCGACACTGGGAGGAGCTGGAGGGGATCCGTGTGCGAAGCTGTGGTGGGGATCCCTTGGCCTTGGAGCTCTTGGATCCACCCCGCGAGGACGGGGTGTTTTGCGTCGACGCTGTGAAGCGTCTCAGTTACGGTCCGCCAGGGTCAGGGTGAAGCATGGATGAAGGTGTGGATCGATTCAGAATCTTGACCTGCAGGACCCACTGGAGTTGTGTGGTTAAGGGACACCCCGAATCACCTCGTTTCAGGGGCTAAGTGCGAGTTTTCTGAGACATGTGAGACTTTGAATGTGCTGGCAGGTCAGCCATTGGTAGAGAAAGATAGACTTTCCTGCGCGAAGATGCGCGAAGAAGTTTTTGGCCAAAGCAATGTTGAAACCGACTCAGATTGCAATTGCCCTGAGAGAGTGTAACTTGTGGATTTGAATTCGCACTGTAGGACAAAGCACGCAGTACACCACATACAACATCATACAACTACACCACATCAGTGGAAATCAACATGGCTTGTACACTGCGGTGGTTGCACAAATGGTACCACCATGTACCGGCAAATATCGGTCAAATTGGTCAAGCACCTTCAGTACCAAAGAGGGGCCCCTAGTATCAAGGCGTCTGTCAGTCTAGCCTCCCAGCCCCCTCTAACTCCACAGCTCCATGTCTCTAACAACACAGCTCCATGCGCATACACCGCCACCGCGGTGGTCGCGACCAGGCGCACTTGGTGGCGGTGAAGCTGAGCAACGATCGCTTGAACCACCGGCGCCGCGACGCGGAGTTTCGGGCGTCCGGACGCCCAGGACACGCATTGAGAGGTGGCCTGACGTGTGTTGACCTGGGAGTAGGGCCCAAGCGTTGATCCTAGCATTCCAGCTAGAAAGCCAGTGGGGCACTGGCGATCCTTGTTTTTCTTTCTTGAAACACTGGAGAGGGTGGCCTAAGTCCAAGGGGTGCTTCCGCAGGTGCCTTGGCACCTGCATCCATGCAGGTCCGCTCAACTGAACAGCCAAAAACATCCAACAACTGTTCCGTCAACCTGTTGGAGAGAAGGCGTTTTCGAAGGTTTGTTCTCCATCTCAGTTTCTTTCTCCAAATGTGGCTCAGTGACTCAGTCAGTCACTTTGCTTACCTGACATCCCACAACTATCCAACTGGTGAGTCCTAGTCTATATATAGGTTTACCTGACATCGCACAACGACTCAGCTAGTCAATACTACAGACCACACCATTCAATAACATCATAACGTACACAGCCGAAAAAACAGTCTTCTTTACCCCAGACACTCCATGTATGCCATATATGGCTACATTGACCCCCCTGGCACCACCCCAATGTTGGCATATATGGCAGTCCCATTAGTCGTGTTTGGGTACTAGTCTCATCTTCTTCACCTTCGGAACATGCAGGGCATTAGCATCTGCGTTTCGCCCCGAGCGCGCGACTCGGCGCGACTCTGCTACGGGCCGGAGCCATCAGGATCGCGCACCTCGCCGGAGTGCTGCGGAGCCTCATCCCCGACGCTGATCGGCTCATGCAGGCGCAGCGGTGGTTTTGGGCAGTTAAGAGCAGATTCTAGATGCAAAGCGTCCAAAGAAGGGTGATGTGGAAGGTTTTTTGGGATTCTTGTGGGTGTTGAAAGATTGAAATCATGGCCGCTTGGCTCGGTTATGCTCGGGTCAACTTCCGATGTTTCTGGCACTGCGAACCTTCTGGGACCATTTCCGAAGGCATTTTCAGGGCACCGCCAGTCAGCATCTTCAGGGTGAACAGGAACATATACTTCATGGATCTTCGGATATGAACGTCCAGGGTCACCACATCCCTAGCGGCCCGATCGCGTCGTCCCGATCCCTTGGTGCCTTCGAATCCTCGCTGCGAAGAGCACCCCAATCCTCGGTGCGAGCTGTCGCACTCCAGTCACTGGGGCGAGACTCCAGGAACGCGTGGTTTGGGGCAACCGTTTGCACGGATGGATTCACTTGCCCGAGAGCTGAGAGACGCGCTACACGAAGCGGCGACAGCGCAGAGAAAACGTCAAAACAGGGAAACGAGTCTCTTTTCGTTCATGGTTTCTGCCCGGTGCCAGCGAAGCATGGGTGGCAGCGAAGCTGTGAGCTGTGACAGGTGAGTTTCGGATCAGAACTTGATGGATTGGATTGAACCAATGCCGATGCAGCAACTCTTCAACGCATTCTTTGGCAGAGAATTATAGAGAATTATGGAAGATGGATGAAGATGGTGAAGATTGCCTTTTGAAACTCATTTAGATTTGGATGGTTCATTTGTTCAAGGGCACCTTCAAGCCCAATTCGTCGCAAAACACCCTTTGGTGTATCGAAGATCATCGAAACTCTTGCTGGGATGTTTGGTTTCATGATGTGAAGTGCTTCTTGCCTTGAGGTATGTGACCGAAGTGCCTTGCCTCTCCTGTTTGGGAGCCATGGTACAGCATCTCAGACGCAGATTGGAGTCGGGTGGAGGCTCCAAGCTGCGGTTGGACATGGCCATGGCGCCAGGGCCCACTGGAGTTGGGTGGTTTTTCTGGACACCCCGAATCGCCTCGTTTTAGGGGCTATCAATAGAAGCCCCTTGGCCAGGGGGGTCCGGTATAGGCGATATATATTATAATATATTATATATATTATAGGTCTATAGGTGCAATAATTGTGGAGAATTCCAAGGGCGAAAACGAGATGTTCCAATTCTGCGGACTTAACCGCCACCCCCCTACCCGGTGATCTTCCACCGGGACAAAGCAGCAAAGCAGTGGTGGTCTCATGGAATGATTGAAGGGGTATGGTATGAAGAGAAGAAACAATATGAAACGCCCCCAAAGTGAAAGGTCCGTACTGTAGGTGTCCTCAAGCATTCTATTTGCAAAAATGTCAGAACTGCTTGTTTGGAGCTGCCAGCACGACCCCGAAGCACCAGCGCTTTCAGAAAGCTTGATGCTCCAGAGGTGCAGTCAGAATCCCCCCTGAAAACAGGTGTTTCGCTCTCTTCGCTGCAGGTTTGCCAAGCGCTTCCCACGAGTGGAGCTGAGGATAGCCTACCCAGGCAGCAGAGAAAATGGACCATGCTGCCAACCGGGCGTCCATGCCAGGGACGGATGGTGATCACTCTCCAAATCAGAGCTGTCCACTGAGATAACTCCAAGTCTGGCTAACTCACTAGGCATTTTAAGGTGTGAGGCACACAGATCATCGCTTTCACTCTTCACCACATCACACATCGCACATCGCTCCGCTCATTTGGCAGACCTCTTTTGGAAAGACCCCACCCGAAGCTGTTGGCCTCTCAAGGAAAGGGAAGAGCACTAGCAGTCACTAGCGATCCATGGCAACTGTGGCACATGAAGGGTTCCTGCAGAAAAAGAACTGCACAATACTGCTTATTAAGAAAAGGCGAACGCAGTTTGTTCAACTCGAAGTCCCTTCCTTGCTTCCTTCGGAATGCCTGTCTCCTCACGCTGCAACATCCCAGAAACGAGTCGAGTCGGTCTGAAACCGGTGCAAAGACGCCGATCGGAGCACGGGATAACAAACGCGGCCGCAGCCGGACACGAGTCAAACGGAACGGCAAGCTTTCAAGAGAGAACAACGAAGTGGAGAGGCAAGGGTTTAGGCACCCAGGCAACAGCCAGGCCTCAAGCTTTCGCAATGTCGAAGCTGCTAATGTTCGTTGTTTTGGCTGGACATGCTGTGGGGCAAGAACACACATCCCATTGGATCGTGAACGGTGGCCACTGTCAGATTCAAGGATCTTGCGTGGTGCCTCCTGTCACTAGACTTTTCAATGACTTGGCCAAATGATTGGTTTAAGATGCACCATGTGTTTTTTCTCCTTTGAAAGCCCTTGAGCCAGCATTTCACGCTTTGCAGATGCGTTTGTGTGCGTGTTATTTGTTCCGTGCCGTATTGTGCCGCGCGAGTCGTGGGCCCAGGCGAATGCTTTTGGTCAAAGATGCTCCTTCACCTCCATCCTGGAGCCCGGCTGGGCAGTGCGAGGCTTCAACACGACGTCTCCACAACTGGTTGAGAATCCTCCGCATTACTATTGGGTGGCCGCTCCTGCGGGCGGAACCACTCCAGAGTGGAAACTGCGACTGGAAACGAAAAGAAGAAGGTGTACTGTATCACCAGGTTTGGAACAGCTCCCTTTGGTTAAGGGATTTCTATGGATTTCTAAACCACTATAGTTGGGCTTTTCACCCGAACAGAAGGACCGGGCTGTGTCCAGCCAAGGAAGTATTGTCTCCTGGAAAGCTGCGCGTTGGCCACGTGCGACGCAGGGCAATTACCTCGAACCGATGCAGCGGAGATCGTCCCGGTGAACAAATCGGACTGCTGCGAAGCGTCCTGCGGGCAGTTTCCATGTCCTTCAGGCTTTACCTTGCGAGCAGATGCCAACACCACGGTCGCACACGGCGAGGGAACATGCCGCATGGGTTTGTTGAAAGTGCTTTTTGGTCTGTGTCATGGTGACTGCTTTTGACACGGCATAGTCTAGTCCCATACGTTGGTTCAAATTGTCTTACATAACAATGGATCACAAGTCTCTGAGGAAACAACCTATGGAAGAATTGTTGAAGGACAGACCTGTCAAACTTGTCTGCGTTCTTCAAACTGCACGAACGGCCGCAAGCTTGTTTGGGGCGGTTCGTGTGGTGAGTAAATAGGGTGGGTTCGACGTCCAAGGTTGCGAGCGCTTGTGCAGCAGTTTTCATTGCCCGGCAGCCTTCGAACCCATTTTCAACGCGCACCTCGTGAAGGGTGACCGTGTCTCGCAGTGTTGCAGGAAGCTGCCCGAGTGTCAGATGAATTCCAACTACAAACCCGTGGACATGGCCGGCACGAAGCCTCGCAAGGTCGATTCAGCTGCCCAATGCTTTGAACTCTGCGAGAGGACCCGGGCCGTCGCGGGGCGGAGAAGATCAGGAACCTCCAAGCGCGCTTAGGACTAGAGAGATCCAAAGAGAAGATATGAGGAAATGAACCCGAATCGCCCAGGGCGATCTCCCTAGTCTAAGATATTCTAAGGTACACCCAGCTCTAAAGTTCCCATCCACCTCCACTTGGCTCTATGAATTTCTTTTGAAGCTATGGCTTGGAAGCTTCCCAATTGAGTCAAGCCCTCAAGTCGAAGGCCCCGGGCCCCTGCCTAGGGGCATGAGGATCAAAGAAAAAAGAACAGGATCCCAAAAAAACATATTATAAATTAAGAGCAAAAAATATCAAAAAGAAATCTTGCCTAGGTCCCTGGGCCTTAGGACCCCCTGGTCCTCGGGTCCTGTGCCCTGGTCCCCTTGTCCTTCGGTCTCCTGGTCTGGTACCCTGGTCCTCAGGTCCGCTGGCCCTCTGCTCCTTTGGTCCGCTGGTCCAGTCATCCTTCGGTGGTCTTATGGTCCTTCAGTCTTGGTAGCTCCCTAGTAGAAAGATAGCTTCCCCAGTGGGGTGCTAGGTCGCTGGTAGTGTATTTCCCAGTAGGGGATCGTGCTGTCTATACTTGATTTGCATTGTGGGGGAGGCGTTGCGCATGCGTGGTGCCTTAAGAAATTATTCCAAGGGTTATGAGGGTTAGTGGAATAATAACATGGAATAGTTATTTTGGGTACGCCGGGGGGGGGTGGACCGTTGACAAACAAGTGTAGTAATTGTTCAAGAGTAGATGATTAAAATAGATAATTGTGCTCTCGTTCCCCTATCTGTGAGGGATGGTTCCTTTTGGGCACAGCCTTTGAAAACAAAACACTTCAGTGTGCGTCAATCTCGAATCAGAAATTGTTACGCCAACGTTGCCTGCTTTTCTGATCTTCATTTTTTTGATGTAGACTTTCTTGTCTGTCTTTAATGAAAGATTGCTTTTTGACAGGCTCTGTGAATCTGACGCGTTTTGGTTGGTTGAAAATAGTTGAACACGTGTTTCAAATCTTGCCACTCTGAAGTTCAGACATTCTATTGGCGAGACATTGTTTTTTACAAACCCTCTATACATATATGTAAGTTTTAAGACATTAGAAACTCTAGCTGACATCCAGATATATAGTTTTTTTCTTATTCTTGCAAAATCTATTGAATATTATTCCATCGAACGTTGACATACTGGAATAATTTTTGAAAATGATGTGGAAGGGGTCCTGAATAATATCTAAATTATTCTCAGGTATGTGGACATGGGGGTCCCTTCAAGGCACCAACCATCGTTGCGCCCTCTCCCGCACCCCCTCCCGCTTTTTTAGTAGTTCCCATTACCCCTACTATTACCCGTGCCTCAATCACTCCGACCACCCCACTACGAGTCTTACCACAGGTACCACAACTACGATCTTCTTTGCATTGACAATACTTTGCTTGGTTTGCATTGCGGGGGAGGGCGCTGACCCCCTCCCGCTTTTTTAACAGTTCACACTGCCGCCCACTACCCCTACTATTACCAGTGCCTTTAGCACTCCGACCACCCCTCTTGCCGCAGTTGCCACAACTACTATCTTCTTTGCGTTGACTGCCACAAAGTGGATGATAAGGCCCACCTTCGCCTAGCGTGACAGCCAGAAACCTTCGCTTAGTAGGAAGTGCTGTGCCCTACTACTACTACTACTACTACTACTACTACTGGTACTACTGTCCTTTCCCATTTCTCTTTTCCTTCGCTGTGATATTTTGTATCCTCTTCTTTTTCTTCTTGATCCCTCTTGAATATTTTTTTGGATGCCGTTCTTTTTTTGATTCCTCACCCCTGCCTAGGACTCCGCTTTGCTCGGGTTTTTCATGGTTTAGAGACAGAAGCTGCCACCTTGCGGACGCAAATGCAAGCTTGCAGTTTAGTGCACACAGTGCGAGTGGAAACCGTTCTTGCTATGCGAAGCTGGCGCCGCGTGCGCCTGAGAAAAAAGCTGCGACCAAGGGGCAGCTCTCGCGATCGTATTGCCAGCGCCAGCCCAAGCGCTGCAGTGGCCGAAGCTTCGAAACCGTTGGCCCTCGAGTGTGGAATGACTACAAAAGCAGTGTCACGCGGGGTGTGGAAGTCGTGGATTGGGATGGCGACGGTTTCTTGGACATTGCGCCATGGCTTAAATGGCTTTAGTATGCTCTGAACCACCAGCTGCTCAAAAAAACCCTTTTATCACCTTTTTGGAGCTAAGTCGCCTTTTCTGAGTCATGTCGGTCAACTCAACTGAGGTAACTGTCCCATCACTAATCTCAGAGGAAGATTGGGCAGGGCTTGATGCAAGCCTAGACTTGCACATTCAACTTCACAACGATCCTCTCCCAAAAGGCCACATTACTTTGGACGATTCTATGGATACGGTCGATCGACCGCAGCTCTCGATCTTTGATTGGGATTCGGACGGCAAATTGGATTTGTCGCTTGAATTTTGAGAGTATATGTGCAGAACAGTGTGCAGAACGTCTTTCTACTGTACTTTTCGGTTTCTGAGTGACGACCAAACCTCCGACCCAACGTGCATGGTCAGAAGACCTCTTGGACGCAACAACCGCTCCGCTTGCTCCGCTGAGGCTCCTTGGGATGGGGTCCGGCAGATTGAGGTTCTTCAAGGGTGTTGACCCACCGGCAGGACAGGTCCGAGACTTTCAGCCTGCAGAGGAGCCACACCCATTCACTTCCATCCGTGGAAACAATAATTCCGCCCCAGCAATGGCCTGGTGGAACGAGGACCGAGCAGCATCTGATACAGGCAAAAGACAATGTTGTCACTTTTAGTCATTGCTACGATGCCTTGAAAAGAAGGCTCTGCGGAAAGTCGTCTCTTTTTCCCAAACACAAGCGAACTCTGTTGGTTGGAAAGGGGCCTACTTTTAGGTTGTACGCTGGGGCTCTCATCGAAAGGTGTTTTAACGCTGTACTGGCAACTCAAAAGGGGCTAATGATGCCTGCTGAAGCAATGAGTTTCTTATTCTGTGGTGGGTCCTGCAAGAGACAAGTACAGGAAGCAACACAGTCATTTCCAGGCTTGCCAGTGCAGTTCGCAATGGAACACCTGTGGGCTTGGACAGATTACGCCAAGATAGCGAGAGCTACTGGGAGAGCTAGTGGGGTTCTTATTTCCAGTATAGGAAGAGGTGCCCTGGTTGCAGGGTTGTTGCTGCCAGATGTTTGTGGTAGTGCGCGCTTTGCTGGTACCGCTTTTCTGCCACTGTCTAGGCTTGGCACAGTTTTTGGTCGGGGCTGTGCAGTTTTGGACCTCGCCTGGATCTCGCCCAGGGCCATCATCCTCCTGCTTTTGCTGTTCGTGTGCTGCTGCTGGTGTTCTGCTGCTTGTGTGCTGCTGCCGCCGCTTCCACGCTGTAATTATTGGACTTTTTGAATGCAAAGCCGAAGCTTTCTTTCAATCGATAAAAAATCTGTAAACGCCTTGTAAACAGGAACTTGATGTGACCCTGATATGACCCGATCGCATCGGGCCACTACTTGCGGATTAGCAGTTTTCGAGTTGGTGGTAGATGGTGGTAGGCCTTCGACTCCACCCTGCGCCGCTCAGAGTTTAGGAGTGATCTGGCTTATCGACTGTGGTCTATTGCTGGCTGCTGCTGCTTGTTGCTGCTTGCTGCTGGTTGCTGCTTGCTGCACTGCTTGCTGCTTGCTGTACTGCTTGCTGCTGTGCTTGCTGCTGTCGCTGGTTCGTGGTTGGTACTGCTGCTGCTACTGCTTGCTGCTTGCTGCTGGGCTAGCTGCTGCTACTGCTGCTGCTCATTGCTGGTTGCTGGTTGCTGCTGCTGCTGCTGGGTTGCTACTGCTGCTGCTGCTGCTGCTGCTGCTGGCTGCTTGCTCCTGCTCAGAATCTTCCAGCCCTCTACCTTTCGTCCACCTCCGTCGCCTCAAGTCGAGTCACCTGATGTGTCTAAAGTTGGTGGCAGAAAATCTACAGCGTTCCATTGGGATTGACACGCAGGAAGCGGATGTAAATCAATGAAACCCACACTCTTTCAGAACTAGCGTTCCATTAGTCTTTGCACTCTTTGGGTCGGCTTTTTTGGTGACAAACCTTGTTTGGGTATCAGCGTTCCATTGGGATTGGCTCCCGGGGGTGACTGGGGGATGACTTTTTGGAACCAGTGTTGCCATGGTGATTTGGCACTGAAACAGTGACCAGGGATGAGTGAGGGATGACTTTATCAGGTTCCTGTAGCATTTACCGTCATATGTCGTGCTGTTTCGACTGTATGCGTTTCCGTTTCAGTGTTTGGTTTGTGATAGATGCCACTATGGCGCAGCACGTCTTCCGACCCGACGAGGGCCCTTTTCGGCTATTTCTGTGCAAACATAGCCAACTCTGGAGGATGAATATCCAGACTTGGTGCTGGCTCATGCTTGTCAAGTCGATATTTTTCTTGGAAGTGCTGATGGCTCCCTACACTTGGCATACTCTCACTACTTTGATGGAGGAGCATGCAGTCTTGTTCCGACTGTTTGGGACTGGGACAGCGATGCAGATGTTGTTGAACAAGTTTTCCTTCATTTTCCTTCTTCCTTCGCCCCTGCCCTCAAGACCTGCCACTTGATGCCTCCATTATCCTCCATTGAAAGCCCCTGAGCGCTTCACAAACCAAAAAAAAAACGACACAGCTCAACCCCATCCCAAACACTCGGCGTATGCCATATTTGCCTACATTGACCGCTGAGACCGCCAGAATGTATGTGAATATGCCAGTCCCATGGATTATTGGGGCATGGATTGTGAGGTGATGGTAAGCCTGAGCTGATCGTCGGAGACGAGCAGGCCAGGCGCGAGCCGCTACCCACCGGGCCGAGACGACCCGCCAGAACCCGAAACGAGCCGAAATGGCCCGCTGAGATTCGGTCAGGGCAAGCTCCACTTATGCAAATCAATGATATCCAGGAGACCATCCAGGGAGCGGTTGCAATGTTTCTTGGCTGTGTGTCGAGTTAGGGTTCAATTAGAGCGTTTTTGGTGTGAATTTGTTTGACATCGCATTTGAGGCTCCAAGGAGGAGTTCAAAATTCTGGGCGTGGGAAGTGATGCTTCACCAGCTGCGTGTGATTGGGACAAGGATGGCGTTCCAGATTTGATGGTCTATGGTAGAAGCGAGTTGCTGGTGGAGCCTCACTGGTTTCGACGCAATGAGTCGCTGACTGGCCATACTTGTTTGTGCATGTTTGAACGGGCATTATGGCGGACAATTATTGCATTTGTATGCATTTGTGTAAATTGTGTAAGACCTTGCTAGCAGCCTAACACTGCACTTGCCGATGTCCCCACAGCCACTTGTCAAGGTCAGGTGTGGCTTTGATGAACCCTGCGCATCCATTGGACGGCTTTGACCTGGGGGCAAATGCTGTGCCTACCTTGGTGGATTGGGACCTTGATGGGGATTTGGATCTCATTGTCCCTGGGACATCAATGGTTATAAAATATAGGGTGTACGTTATTGTAAAAATTAATAATGAATTGTCCCCGGAAGATCTAGAATCTAATATAGTCTACATAATTAGTTACTGTACACTGTATATGCTTCCTTGTCGGGCCAAGCCTGTTGACAAGTGTAGTGTTGACTCAAGTTGTCTTTATCAGGTTGGCAGTGACGATGGCAGAGTGTGGTACTTTCCTTGGCACAATGGAAGCTTTCATTCGATGAATGGTTGGGATGGTCCTTTTGTGCAAATAGATGCAAAGCCTGCATGCTTGAAGATGGAGTGAGACCTAACAGCACAAGCAAGGCATTGTTTGGCAAGGGATAAGTCTGAATCAGTCACTGCTCAGTTCCAGAAAAATAAAGCGGTGCCATATAGTTCCATGCATTCTTCAAACTCAGCAGCTAAGCCTTTGACGCTAAGCCTCTCGTCGTCGGCTGATGCTTCAATACTTCACACACTTGTAAGCTTCAGAAGCTCAGCTTAATCGAGCCAGGTTGGGTCCAAGGCCGCGCCTGCAACTGTTGACTGGGATTTGGATGGCTATCCAGATTTGGTGGTCGGCAATGGAAAGGGGAGCTTGGCCTTCTTTCGTGGAGGGCCGGGCAAAATTTATCCTGCAGGTGTGGACCGGCGCTCAGTTGAATGTGCAGTTGCTTTGATTCGTTGGGTAGTTTCTTGCACTGCGTCACACGCTTCCAAGATGTGGAATGCACCTAAAACATTTGTTGCAGCCTATTAAAACCCTGAAATATACACCCTGTATGATCAAAATCCCCCCCAGCCGTAGACCCACAATAGAGCAGGGGCTTACAAATTTAACACGGATCAGGCCTGAAGCCTGTTGAAGAAATTTGCCAAATCGCCAGAATTATGACGGGCGCACTTGCCACGCAAACAACCCGGGTGTTCAAAGGGAGCCCACTTGCCTTTCTCATTTTTCTCAAAGGTATTCCAAGGTCAGATACGGCCACGAGACCCTCAGCAAGGGAACTGGGCACTCTATGACTGACCCAGTTCAACGAAGTTGCTCGTTTTTGCGCGCGGGAGTATCTTCATAATGTTGACCTTGTCCAATCTGGCAACCCTTTCAGCACTTCAGAGTCACACTGCCTGGTTGGCAACTGCAACCCACCCCACCCCACCCCACCCCCCACCCCCAACCCAACCCGCTCATTAGTTTGCGTGGCAGAGGTGTGCTTTGAAAGGCAATCAAACGCGCGTTTGTGTGTGTGTGTCACCCCCTGTATCTAAGGGTTCCACCTCTAACCTCTGGAACTAAGAATTTTCGAATGCAGGGGGATGAGGATCCCTTGGTGTGCCTCATCTAACAAAGACCGCACCAAGTGGATGTGATATCAGTGCCCGGCCAGCACTGACGTACCTGCCTTTCAATTGTTTAACTCGACGTTTTTCAACAATACTGTTAGACGGACTCAGCACGTCTTTTTCAGTCAAGGTCTAAATTGCAGTAACCGTAGTTAACTGAATGCGCAAACAATTTGTTCAAACACCTACAAGTTTTGCGGACTTTCCACCTTGCCGTTTCTTCACCATTTTCGACCTGAGAACTGAGTTTACCTGAAAACAAGTGTCAGAGTGTGTTTCGCTCAGCCGTCCCACTCGGGTGCTGAGTGTGATCCCCCGCAAGGGGGCGCCGTTTCTTTGGGAAAGCACTAATTGATTCCTCCACTTTGCACTGGAATTTCACAGGATTTCACCGACACAACCACTGAATCAACTGCCACACTGGCCGCCGGGCCTAACAACGGAAATTGACCTTCAACTGCAGTGCATGGATTTCGTGTTTCAGCTTGCATGTTGCATGTTTTTTGAGATGTTCTGACGGCTAAGTATTCACATGTGCATGTGCTGCTAAGTAGTCACAGGCCGGACGAATTAATCGTGCATTTTTTCCCCCTCCCTACCCCTAGGCCTCCGTTGCTACCCCACCCGCTACTCGGGAAACAGAAGGAAATCGCACTCAACACACTTGTGTGTTGGTGCCTTTCCTTCTGTTTCTCCTAGCCTATTGCTAGCTACCCGGGCGGTTTAAGACAAATGTCCCGCTCGCGTTCTACTTTCGTTTAACTAAGTGGGCCTCGTAACTACCCCTATCTTTCTTTCTTGCCCTCTTAGTCTGCTTTTGTTTTGTTTGCTTTGTCTGTTTTTCTAAGGCTTTTTAGGTGGCTATTAGTTTTTCGCAGCGCCAATATTGGCGCTTTCTGTACAAAGTTCCACTTTCAACGTTCTACACACTTGCGCCGGAATCGGCGGTTTGTGTGTGTCACCCCCTGTATCTAAGGGTTCCACCTCTAACCTCTGGAACTAAGAATTTTCTCATCAGGGGGATGAGGATCCCTTGGTGTGCCTCATCTAACAAAGACCGCACCAAGTGGATGTGATATCAGTGCCCGGCCAGCACTGACGTACCTGCCTTTCAATTGTTTAACTCGACGTTTTTCAACAATACTGTTAGACGGACTCAGCACGTCTTTTTCAGTCAAGGTCTAAATTGCAGTAACCGTAGTTAACTGAATGCGCAAACAATTTGTTCAAACACCTACAAGTTTTGCGGACTTTCCACCTTGCCGTTTCTTCACCATTTTCGACCTGAGAACTGAGTTTACCTGAAAACAAGTGTCAGAGTGTGTGAAGTGTAAAGATGTTGACCTTGTCTAATCTGGCAACCCTTTCAACACTTCAGAGACATACTGTCCCGTTGGCAACTGCAACCGCAACCCACCCCACCCCACCCCCCCCCCCCCCCCCCCCCCCCCCAACCCGCTCGTTAGTTTCCGTGTGCAGATGAGTTTGCATGGCAGAAGAGTGCTTTGAAAGGCAATCAATAGTGTGTGTGTGTGTGTGTAAAGATGAGTCCAATTCGTGTGCGAATCTGTATTAGATTTCGGGGGCGGTCTGTGTGCGAGTATGAAATTGATCTCTGTGCGAATATGAGCGGCCACCCGTCAAAGAGTGGGATATTCGGACTGATCACCCGAAGGAAAGTAAACTGCTTTAGGACTCTTTCGCCTTTCGGTTGTGCACGCGGTCGTTTTCTTCATTTAATCTGGACAGGTTGTAAAGTGCTAGTGCATTCTTGGATTTTTCTGAAGTTGTGTTCATCTGAGCTCTATTCTAAGTGCTTGAGTTGCATGTGCTTGCCGGAAGGAGGTGTCAAACCGCACTGTCATGACCTCCATGTGCAGCACGGCATATTCACATGTCGCATTTCCTGCGTAACGTGAGGAAGAGAACCCATTCTACTTCATTCAGACTGGGTTGCAAGTCGCCCCAGCTTTTGCCGACATGGATGGAGACGATGACTTTGATTTGGTGTTTTCAAGCGGACAGTTTGACAACGCCGGCACCTTCTACTTCGCTAACCACAATGGAGAATTGGTCCCTGAACCATCCCCAATTCAGCATGTGGACCTCTCCCCTTTGGCTGGCTATGTCCAGGTCCCTACGTGTTTGCAATTGGTTGATTTCGACGGGGATGGAGATTTGGATTTGCTGACCGGGAGCAGCTATGACGCGACTGCATGGTTTCTGGAACAATTTGAAGATGGCACCTTCTATCACGCACAGGGGGCGAGCAATCCTTTTGCTGCAGGAATGATAGGTCTTTCACCCTGCCCCGCTTTGGGTGACATCGAATTCGATGGAGTGGGAGACCTCGTGGTGGGCGATGGGCAAGGCATGCTTCTGATGTTTCAGCACCAACCTATGCAACATCTCGGCCTGGGAACCAAAATGGAGGACCTTGGGCAAAAATCGAGCCTCCAACTGTTGTAGTGAGATGGGCCTCCCTTTTTGTAAATGATTGAACATGTTGTTTGTTATGTGTTCCACCAGGATAGTCAACACCACCCTCTTGGTTCTCTCAATCAACACCTTTGGGGCGGTTTTCCTAGAAAACCTACGGCTGTTGATTGGAATGGAGACGGCCTACTGGATTTGATTGTGGTCACCGACACCATCAGCCTCTTTCTCCAAGAAACTGACGGTACATTTCTGCCTGAAAATACCGCACCGTTCAACATGATCCTCAAGAACATCCCCGGACATTATCCAGGCACGCTTCGGAGTGTCGATTGGGACTTCGATGG